ATTCCAAATAAATATGATATGGGACCATGTTGTAGGTTTGTAATCTAAAAATACAAAATACGTATGAAATTTCTTTAATAAAAATTTTCTGGAAAATTTGCATTCTAGACCAGAGTCATTTTAATATTTTTTAAGTTTTCATTTTTCAAGTGTGGTCCAGACAGACGCAGGATGGTATTATTTTAATGTTAGGTCTTTTCTGTTTTCAAAATAAGCATATTATTAATGTTGCATTCTATACAAAAAATTGTCTCACCAGCTTATAAGAAAATCACAAAATTGCAATAATTTTGTTGCTTAAAAGCGGTTCTTCTTATAAGCGGGCTCAGTTATGAAAGTAGAAAAATGTATAAAACCAATTTTGTTTTGTTAATAAACGAGTTTCCCTTTTATTCAAGTATGTTATCTCGTATACTTGCATTTCAAAGTTTTTTCACGACAAGTTGTTTTTAATTTTTTGAATCTTACTAGTAGATTTTAAATTCAAGAACTACCAAATTCCATATTGTGGTCCTTTTTTCTTGAAACGTGTTAGAAAAATTTTTTACAATGAAATTTTTCTGTAGCACCATGTTCTATAGAATAATAATTTCTTAATTAAAAATTTGTTCTAAAATTATTGGGTATGGCACATTATACCACAACATTTCTTTTTGATGAATTCACAATAGAAAGTTTATTTATTAAAAAATAATTGCATGTCCTGAAAATATCACAATTCCAAAACTCTAAACACTCTTATTTCAATAATATCCTTGGCAATATTAATTAATTAATATGGAAAAAAAAAATTCTTCTATAGCTAAGATTTTCATTATCTAAGCAATTGTTTTCAAGAATCACTCCTAAGCACCTTTAGGTTTTCTAAAAAAAATTGTAACCAAAGAAAGAGTAAAAAAAACAACCAAATTTTAAGGAAAATAAATAATCATGGACAAAAACCATTTTTTTTGTTGTCTTAGATATTTTACTTTATAAATTTTGGAAAAGTTTCTTATACTTTTTTTAAAAATAGTAAGAAAAAAGCTTTAATATCAAATTTTAAGAAAACAAAAAAAAAATGCTGCCAGCATCTATGAAAAATCTTCAAATTGAAAGTTTTTCTTTTAGTAAGAAACTGGATTCCAGATGAAATTTAGATTGAAATAATGAAATTAAACAAAAAGAAATTTAATGATTTTTTATTGTACATATTCCTAGAATTCTATAGAATTTTACAAAATCTTGGTCCTTGCCATGCCAACTGTTGTACAGAAAAGCCCTTTATAATGTGAGTAATTAATTTTCAATAAAAAATAAATTATTCGAAGAAAAATTCTTAAAGGTAGAGGGTGAGAAACATTATGGCCTCCCATGCTCCTAATGCTAATTATGCACCTAATTTGGACTTAATGGTGATGATAAATAATATTTTATGTGATTACATTTTTATGTGTAAAATAATATAGTATTAATTACAATTTTTAATATGAAATAAATTTAGAATTAATAGCAAATGTTTTCTAAGAAAATATTCATGAAAATTTACACTGAAAATTATTAAGACTTCGATGGGGTAGATGAGGAATTTCTCCGAATTTTATAAATTGAATATTTTTTATTCACTAATGACAATTCAATAATTCCAATTTTTTCCAGCTAATTCTGAGAAGCTATATGGAAATTTTCGAGAAAATAATTTTTCGCTCAAATTTTTTTTATTTTTCGCTGAAATTTTCATTATAGGTAATTGGATTTTTTCAACAATATTTTCATAGTCATTCGTGCTGATTTTTTGCTCCTCATGTAGTAATAAAACACCAGAATTTTTTTTGATCGATTGGACTAATAATTCAGCATATGAAAAAATATTTATTAGAAATGTGGATCTCGGGAAAGTGTTCTATGGAAGACATTGAGCGTTCGTGGAATGGGCACAATAAATGTTTTTTAGGTCGGAATGGATGACGACCTTATTTATAATCTACAATCCACAACTAATGTTTTTACAATACGTTAGGCGATTCCATTCTGTTTCAAAGTATTTCTCTAACTTTGTCCGCTGCGTTTACTAAGAATAATAGGAGTACAATTTTCTATTACGAAGAATCGATAAATATTTTATGATGCAAAATTGATTCTTCCATATTGAATATTTTAATATTAAAATTTTCATGTTCATTACGATATTTTTTTCTTTTTAATTTTCAATGTCCTTTATTGTTGTCCTTTTATCTACAGAAAAAATTTTTAATATTTAATGGGATGAAAATATGTCGTGTTTTGTTTAAAGATTTTTAGATGCAATAATCAAAAATATTTTATTGATATTTTTTATTTGTTTCCTATTTTCTATTCTCATCCCCATTCGGATCATAATTCAGTCTAGTATTCAAATTAATAATTTACAATTTTTGCTGTAATATTTTGCTGTTCTTGTAATAGGGTCTAATACTTAAATTAAATTTGATTACAATATCAGGATTTCTGTTTTATTTGGCACATTTTCAAAATATTATGGAAGAAATTTATGCACGCAATGTTTATCAGTTTTGTACTCTTTGAGTGTATTCGGAAGGTTATGTGTTTCTGTTTACTTTAACAAAAAATACATTAGAAAAGAAGTAAATTTACCGGTCTACTGAATTAGAAGCCTGGTCCTATTTTAAGTTTATAGGGAGACATTTTTTAATCAGTTTAATTTCTGAAGTAAGCTGATTAGTTTTTCAAGACTTTCGCAATACTAAACAGCATGATATGATGTCAGCCTAATTTTTTTTGAAAATCTTTCAGAACCTAGGAGGAGCAATATCCAGAGAAGTTGTTCCACGGGAATTATAGAGATATAAGAGACTTTGCCAGAGATATGCTACCCAACCAATATTTGGTAATTTTTTGTTTTACATTCTTGCCATAACCTTGTACGAGAGGAGCTAGTTGCAGTGGGCTAATCATTAAAAAACTGTGCTAAATTTAAAATTTTTTTTTTTTCTAATAAAATATTTTATTTTCTATTTTTCAATTCTAATTTCCTTAAAATTCTAATTATTTGATTAAAATTTTCAATTAATACTGATTTTTTTTTTACACGAATTTTTCTCTGCTTGAAAATTTATTTCAATCAATTATTTTAAGTTTAAAATTTAATCAATTTAATTCGAACCTTAATTTTAATATTATATTTAATAAATAATTCATATAAATTAATTGAAATTAATAAAGAAATTAATAAATGAAATTAAATTCAAAATAATATTAATGATAATTTAAATTTAAATTTTAAATTATAAGAAAAATTAAGACAAACGAGAAAAAAAAAAGGGTTGACCTTGTCAACTCTGTGATACCCGTACGAATTTGTTATCCTATATGCGAACAAAGATGCCATAACTAATTATGGGGCAGACTATGGCTTTAAGTTGCCGTATTACCATATTAATTTATGCAAAATTTCAGTACTATGTGTTTTTCAAAATACTGTGTCTGCTAAATAACTTTTAAAGTTGTATGGCAGCTACCTGAACCGGTACCCCGATCATGTCTAATTTAAATAGGGTTATAGAACTTACTAAAATTAATCATTTGTGAAAATTTGGTGAACTTAACTCAATTAGTTTTTGAGTTATCGTTGGGACGGACGGACGGACGGACGGAGGGTTGTCCTTTAAATATTAGAATATTGTTATTAAGTGCTTAAATATCTACGATGTTCAAATACTAATTTTTCTAGAAATATTTTGTATATTTATCCACATCATATTAATTGTTTTACCCTTATTTACCCACATCATATTAGTTATTTTACCCTGATTTACCCACATCCTATATTAGATGAGTCATTTGAGATGATGAGAGATCTTTGAATAAGAATCCATTACGTGAATAAATATGGATAATTATATAACAATATCAGACTGATTTGTATAGAATATAAGAAATTATATAAATTTTTAACGATGTTATCAAATTTGCAAAAAAAAATTTTTGATATCTAGTTCGTCAAATAAATTTTTGATGTCATTTAAAATAATCCTTTTATGTTTATGAAATTTGGGACAATTATATGTGAGAATTAATGACAGAAACAATGTCCCAATAGAAATGAGAAACACAAAGGTAAAGGATATCTCTGAGTTCTGCTACCTTGGTAGTATAATTACTACAGATGACGGTACTGAAAGGGACAAGCAGAACCGAATATTACTTGTCAGAATGGCATTTGAGAGACTGTTGTCTGTCTGGAAACAACTAGTCACTTAGCAATAGGGCCACAAAAATAACTCAATTAATTTTCTACTCCAAAATGTAATTTAAATAAAATTTAAATAATTATAATTAAAAAAAAATATTTTTTGTTCATAATTAATTTTTTCGAAAAAAAAAAATCTATTCTACATTCAAAATAATTAAAAAATCTTAAAATACTAAAAATAAATCACAGTTTTTATATATATTTTTATATTTTTATATATAATTGTATGAAGCAATAAATGATTTGGTAATAATGACCATCAAGTCAGTCATCTTAGATTTCTGCCTCAAATCGCTACTTTCTACAATATTCACTTATTCTTTCAGATCATTCATTTTAATTCTATTATAATTATTATTTTTTTTTAAATAATAATTATTATTTTATATAATATTGTGATAATTTCTAAAATATAATAATAATTAATTAATTATTTTAGTATCATTTTGTTATAAAATCATCATTAATTGTTATTGAATTTGTTGTACGATTAAGAAGACTTGATTCTTTATTATTAATATTACGTTTTAATATACCAATTGTATTATAATCAATATTATTATGTTCATTATTATCATCATCATCATCATCATTATTATCATTATTATCTAAATTATCATCAATATCAATATTATTAATTAAATTATTAATATTACTAATACCACCACTAATACTACCTAAACGTGATATATTATCATTATTTTGATGATGTTGTTGTTGTTGCAATTGCTGTTGTTGTTGTAGTTGTTGATTATTATAATGTAATTGCGATTGATTTGAATGTAATGAACTCATTGAATTTATTTTATTACGATTTGCATCAACAACACGTCCAATATGTTTTCTTAAACCATCACCAATTTCATCTAAACGACAATTTGATGATGATGTTGTACGAATTTTATCTTTTGTTGATGTTGATGTTATTGAACCACTATAATCACTAATATTTGATTCTTCATATATTGCTGATGTATAATAACCATTTGTATAATTACGATAACTATCTGAATTAGCTAAACTATCACCACAATTAACTAATTCCATTGCATCACCACTGCTACTTGAATCATGTATTGCAAATAATATACGTGAATTTTTTTTATCTTTTTTATTATTATTAATATTATTATTACTGTTATTATGATTTGAACTTGAATTACTATCTTTACGTCCAAATAAATTTAAGGGATTGTAAAAGCTGCTACCACTATCCTTTTTCATAAATTTCGTTGTTGTTGATTGTTTATTGTTGCCTAAAATTTTAAATATTTATTATCGTAATTATTATAATATTATCGTAATTATCATAATATTATCGCAATTACCATAATATGATCGTAATTATTAAAATATTGTCATAATTATTATAATATTATCGTAATTATCATAATAATATCGTAATTATTATAATATCGTCATAATTATTATATTATCGTAATTATCATAATATCATCGTAATTATTATAATATTATCGTAATTATCATAATATTATCGTAATTATTATAATATCGTCATAATTATTATATTATCGTAGTTATCATAATATTATCGTAATTATCATAATATTATCGTAATGAATATAATATCGTCATAATTATTATAATATTATCGTAATTACTATAACATTATCGTAATTATCATAATATTATCGTAATTATTATAATTTTTAAAATCATAATATTACCATTATTATTTGAATGTCCGATAATAAGATTTGTGCCACCATTCAAATCAATTAATTGTTGTTGTAAGTGATGTTGTTGTTGTTGTTGCTGATTATGATATTGATTTGAATGCTGTTGCTGTTGTTGTTGTTGTTGATGATGATGATATGGTGTATATACAAAATTTTTACGTCTTGTCGATGTATATGTTGAACGTATTGAACTTGCTCTTGTATATACTGACATTGTTCTATCATGAACATCATTTGAATTTGTTGTAAGACGACAAAAGCATACAGTAAAACGTTTATTAAATTCACGTTTGAATTTTTCCTTAAAAGAAAAATTTTTTTTGAAGAAATAAATGAAAAATATTCAAAAATTTAATACAAAATGTTAAAAATGGAGAAATTGTGAGAAATGTAGAATAATTTAAGTGAATAATTAAAGGGAAAATGTTTTGTGGAAATTTATGGGCAAAATATATTTTTGAGAGTGCTATAGTTTTAAAACAGTATTCGACTGTATTCAAGTACTCCTAAAACAGGGTGATAGAATGTTTTCAAATGAACAAAAAAACTTTGTGACATTTTGCTTTTGAGCTACCCTTCTGGAGTCCCTCAAAGATGGAATTTTTGACGGCAACACTCCTCAAGCAGGGTGATAGTATGCCTTCAGATGAACAAAAACAACTCTGTGACATTTTGTTTTTGAGCTACCCTTCTGGAGCTTCTGGATTCATGTGAAGTTATGAGGCCTCAAAAATGAGATTTTGGTCGACAACACTCCTGAAGCAAGCTGATAGAATATCTTCAGAGCAATAAAAAAACTTCGTTTTAAACTTTGTTTATTTTGGTCATTTGGACCCTAAAATTATTTTGCTTTTTCTTGAGTCAAGAGCCTCAAAATTGGAATTTTTCGAAAATCGTATAATTTTTACATTTTTATTAATAACTCGGGGAATATGACAGCGTATGTCATTTATCTACTCATACGTACTTTATGTTTGTATTCATTTTGAAGCTCATAAGATTTCACTTCTAAGAATGAGCCAGAGTAATGGAAGACTTTCTTAGTTACTAAGATAATTAAGCGCAAAGCCAAAATTTTTAAAAATTTCAATTCGAAATATTGTTAAAATAAATCTCTTAAGCCTAACACAAAAGAGTAATGCTACGTTCAATGAAATTTTTATTTAGACTCTACATAAGCTCGATTCTAATTAGAATCCTTTAAATTTGTTCGACATTCGGACTTGAAATATTTAAATTTGATACTAATTTATTGATTAACATTTTTATTCTTCCACTAGGATATTTGTAAGTTCTTAAGAAAAGTGCTCAATTCTCACTCATTATCATTTAAAATAAAAACTCAGACAGTTTAAATGAAAATTATTCCAAATCCTAAAGCATTCATTCAAATATCATTTTCCATGTGAAATTTCATATTTACTTTAACAAAATATTGTTACCGTATAGAAATTACGATATTTGAATAAACAATATTCCCACTTTTAAGAAATTATTCTAGTTCTTTTCAGGTTTTTTTTTTTTGTAGATTCAAGGTCGACAATATGAATTCTATAAATTCTCTATAAACAAAACTGAATATTTGTTTTTCAATTTATATTCAAGAATCGTAAGAAACAACCGCATTGTACTATAGAGAAAAAAAAATTATTCACAGAATAAATTCAACTATTCACGTTCATCTCTTGGATTGAATAGCAAGCAACATTTTCTGCACCTGCCATGAAATTAAATTATGAAAAATAATTCAATATTTCAATGAAATTTAAAAATAGAAAAGGAAATAGGACAAAACATAAAATAGGACATGAACCAAGACAAACTGAGCAGTGATAAAATAAAAACTGTTATGCATACTTAATTTTCTTTTAAATACTTACATTGTATATTCCATAGATAAAAGGATTATAACAACTGTTACTCATTGCTAACCAATCACAACAAAACCATATTATATTGATAAATTGATATTCATTGATGTCCGGCCATGTTACATAAAGTATATTATAAGTTTGTAATGGTAACCAACAAATACCGAAGACAACAACCACAATTATAAGCATTTTTATTACCTGTATTGAAATTAGAAATAAATTTGATATAAAAATTATTATTCAAAAAAATTTCAGATTTATTTTTATAAATTGAAGGGGTGGAAAATTAAATTAAAAAGTGTTTAGGCTTGTCTATGCGTTCGTCACAGTGATAAACCAAAAAAGGCATATAGACAACCAAATTTTCACAAATTCCAGTTATGAGTTTCACAAATAGCAGATCACAAATGGCAGTATAACAGTTATGTTAAGAACCATATTTTATTTGAGTTCGATTGTAACACTTTTCCGAGTAGCCGTCATCAGCTCCAAAAAAAATTTATTCATATCGTGAAACCGTACAACATAAGGCTACTAAATTTTTTATAAATGAATTTGATGGCATAGCTCATAATTCGACTAAATTTTGGTGTGGTTGTATAAGTTCTTGCAATGGCTACCTTGAGACAACAACTTGAGAAATAATTGGATCACACCAAAAAAACTTTGAAATTTAAAACACATTTAATAAGAAGGCTAACAATCTACTAAAATGTTAGTTAGAACTTTGAAAAGCATTCGTACAGATGTCAGAAAATTCCGACGGTCAGCTCATTATTTTCTCGTTCTGTATTACGAGGGCTGTCCCAGAATTAAGTAGCCTAATCAAGATAAAACAAAAATTAAAAAAAAAAAATAAACCTGGCGGAATGCCCTATCGTTTTAAGGATTAACTGTCACACTTTTATTAATTTTTTTTTCTTTTCAGATTACCGACTATTAATAGTGAAGCTTTTCAGTAAATTTTTAATATGGATAAAATTGGTGATCGTTATATAATTCAATATTTTTATTTGAAAGGTCTTAGTGCAGCCGGTATCAAAAGTGAACTAGATTCTACACTAGGGGAGTCTGCTCCCTCATATGCAATGATTAAAAATTGGGTAACGCAGTTTAAACGTGGCCGTACGAGTTGTGAAGATGAACATTCCACTTTTCGACCAAATGAGGTCGAGCTTCCTCACACACCCTATTCACCAGATTAATCCACCTCAGATTACTTTCTATTTCCAAACTTGAAAAAATGGCTTGGTGGAAGAAGAATTTTTACAAATGAAGAGGTAGAGTCTGACGTTGATGGCTATTTTGCAAAGTTTCCCGGTTCTTACTATAAAAATGGTATCGAAGCAATTCAACACCGCTGGCAAAAGTGTATCGACCTAAAAGGGGACTATGTTGAGAAATAAAAATAAGTTTTGTCAAAATTTTTGTGTTTTCTTGGTTAGGCTACTTAATTCTGGGACAGCCCTCGTATATTCGACATTTCGTGTTATACAATGCGGTTAAAGAGAAAAATCTCAAAAACGATTAGGTTTTGTGAAGGATTCATAATATTTTAACATTGTGGATGTTGCCAAAATTGGAATTTTTCAGAAAAAAATGTCACTTATGCCTCCTATGTAACCCGACAAAAAATTATTGTTAAAAAAAAACTTCTTACCTTCTTTTTATTAATTAAAAGTGTTCTATCTCTTGCATCCTGTGCATTACCAGGTGTTCTTGATCCCCATAATTTAACAGCCATTTGTATATATACAAAACTTATAACACACAATGGTACAACATATTGTACAAATACTAAATAATAACGATAACTACGTAATTCATCATATGTTAAATTAACATTTTCACAAAATGGGCGTGTCACATTGTAATAATGATCTTCCTCTGTAAATACAAAAAAAAAAAGAAAAAAAATTATTATTCAAATTAGAAAGTAAAAAATTTTTTTTAATTTTCACAAAATTTATTAATTAATTTTTAGAATTTCCGGGATTTTAAAGGAAAAAATGTGGGATGAAAATTTTATAAAATTTTAATATTAACAGGTTTTGATTGGGTGTCAAGCAGGATTGATTTGATTATTTATGTATTTTAAAGGTTGAATGTTTTCAATTATACAAAAATTAAGTAAAATTTGTTTGTGTATGTGTGGGAGTAGATTTAATATTTAAATGAAATTTATTAGAATATGGGTAGGATTTACTGATATTTACTACAGCTACCCACTACCTTATACGAGAAAAAGAATTATAAAATTCACCTGGTACTTCGAATTTTAATTTTTGAAGAATCTAAATACCACCGACTGTAAATACCACATCTCTTTTACTCACATATTCAAGATTTTATAATTTTCCAATAAATTTGTTGAAATTTCAAATGAAAAGATTTCATTTCATATTTTTGCATTTAAAAATTTTGAATATTCATTTCTAATTTCTAGAATATTTTTATTTGCTTAAGAATACTTTAAAGTAAACCACAATATTTGCTTGTTTACACAAGAATATCTTCTTCTACACAAGAATATTTTGAAGAACGTGTAACATAACATTTTTTTCTACGAAAATTATTTTATTATTTTTTAATACCAGCAACTTCTCTGTTTGAGGACGTTTTCTTATATTAAATTTTTCTCTGTTCACAAGTTCGTCAAATCCTTAACGAAAATTTGTGGTAGGAAACAGAAAAGTTCCTTAACCTAGAATTAAATTTTTTCATTTATCTCTCCACGTTCTTAAGGTATATTCTTGAAGACGCTATAAATGGCTTTGCCTCGATCTCATAGGAAAGGAGGTGGCAATTTTTTTATTAATTTTTTCTAGTGCTTTACGATATACCATATTTTTTGTTTATTCGTTTTCATTAGGTAGTAGAAATCTTCGTTTACAAGTAAATGAGATGATTTTCCGAAGCGTGAGCTGATCACTTAAGAATCATCGATTTGCAACGAACAGATTTTTTGAATCTAGCCTATAGAACAATATCTAACGGATTTTCTTTTGATTTCTTTTACTTAGCCTTAAACCTCTTAGCCTTAACTAGTGCCGATTTTCAAAAATATCAAGAGTTGTAAACCTCGCTGATAACCTTCCCAATAATGCCTCGTACATTTGTAAATAGTTTCAATTTTCGTACAGTTCGACCTTCGAACCGAAAGGTTTTTCAAAAAAAAAACAATTTAAATTTTTTTTTTTCTGAAACCATCACGGGAGTTTTCTAACCTATTTCACAAAGCTTTAATGGAGATCGGAATAAAAGCTTAAGAATACAAAAAAGACAGACAAACAAGCACACTTTCATTTTAATTTTTGTATAAACGATCCTCCTAAATATATACATCAAATATATTTGCCTATATATAGGAGAGAATAAGTTCTAAAAGGTTTTGTTCTTGGCTCTAGTTTGGGAAATGAAATGTATTTGAAATGTATTTGAAATTAGCAATTCAGTTGGCAGCTTGAAGCTTGTCTTTCAAAAAATTTTTAAATAATAAAATATTAATAACCTTTACTTGTTATTGTTATTGAAATTTTTAATTAAAAATGTTTATTTTCTTAGATACAAGCAGAAAAATGTTTAGAAACAAAATATCTCTTCGAATTCACATGCCTCCCTTAAATCCAAATTTTTTCTGATTAATTATGTAATATTGAGTAAGTATCAAATCAAATGGAACGGGTACTAATTAAAGCATCTTTGTTTTTATTATTTCATTAATAAGAACTTAATTATAATTTGAAACTGCTTTCAGCATAGAATAGAAATATATTCATAGCATTCAAAGAAGTAATCATCGAAAATAACAAGATGTTGTTCCATTTTAATACAAAATATGGATGCTCATACCTTTCAATCTCTTAAAATATTTAAGTAAACTTAGAAAAGTTTTAATTACATGCTATAAAGAAAATAATTACAGGCTGTACCTCAAAGCAATTTTATTGATTAAATTACATATTTCTGAATTTATAGCATATAAATAGTGTTCTTGGCGGAGTTAGGGGTGTATAGTGTTTGTAAAACGTGCTCGTAACTTGATAAACTTTATAATTTTTGAAAAAAATTCGGCTTGTGAGTTTCTTTAGCCTCTTTCCATCTTGGCTGCTAATTAAACTTATTATAAATTTCCAAAAGTTTTAGTTTCATATTAAAAATTTGATGTTAAATATTAACTTTTGTTGAATTAAATTGAAATAAATGTTAAATTATGAATTCACTACTCATTTTTATTCAGAATAATATAAAAATTATCATTTTATTAAAACATCCTAAATAATTTTAGAGGAAACATTATTTATAGTATAATAAGTTTTTCCCGAGAAAATTAATGCAAATAATATTATAAAATTATGAAGAGCATAAACTATTATAAAATTCAACATTCCTTGGAGTAATTTTGCAATGTACCCAACATATTTTATAATTTTTTAGATTCTCTTAAATATTCTCTTTGCATATTTCCTCTCATACAAAGAAAAAGCCCACTCTTTTTCATAATCAGAATATTTCTTCCAAACTTGTAAGGAATGTGTTTAAAAATAATTCTCTTTTCTCAAAGCAGCCGTGCATTAAGATTTTCAATTGAAAATTATTTATTTTCTTGTGTACGGTTTAAATTTTTTTTGTGCGGAGAATAAGGACGCACTGTATGTACGCACATTTAATTTTTTTTTAAATTATAATAAATAATTTTTGATAAGAATTAAATTAGAATTATTATTATGGATATACCAAAACTTTTCATATATAATAAAAAAATTGCATACATTTAGGAGAATAAGCAAAAATTAAAATAAATGTTAAAATAATGGTCTCCTAGGCGGAAGTGATCGTAGTAAGTGATAAATTCGGCTTGCTGGCAGACAATGTAATATCTTGTATGTTGAATTCCAAGTCCATGTCATAGCGGATTCCAAAGAAACTGGAGGTTGAATAATCTGACGGGGCATGAAAAAATTCTTGAAATTTTACCTGAAGAAGAAAACTTGGGGATACGTGCTACGTACACACAGATATCCCAAAATCAATTATTTCAAAATATGATTTCTGTTCATTGCTACGCAATGCAAAAGCCGAGCAATATCGGGTTATTAAATCGCAAGCAGACAATGTTGACCTAAACTAGATTTCATATGCACGGCGAATCTGATATCTCGTCATCGGGGAAGCTTCGGAGATGTCATAAGAATCGTAAAGGAGAATTGTCTGATTGGCGAACAACTATGAAGTACGAAACGCCCCACTAGCGATATCTGTCCTAGGGGGAGCATTTTTTTTTTTAATTTTATTATACAAGTATTCATAACAATTAACAGTTAACAGAAACGGGAACTCATGTGGGTGGAAAGAATCTCATTACAATAATGCTTGACAATAATATTCTCTCTCCATTCTTAAAATTCTCTCTCTTTTCTTCTCTCACTCACATTTTCTATATTATGAGCTCACCACTATTAATTGTATTGTTTTTTACTTAATTTGTACACAATTCGAATTCCTTGTGCGTAAATAAATTCCAGCATTTTTTAAGATTTTTTTTTTTCAAAATTCAAGAGAATAAAAAAAATAAAACAACAAATTACCTCGAAATTTTTCAGTTAGTTGAACAACACGAAATGCTATAGCAAATGGTATTGCAAATGATAATGCCGCTATCCAAATTCCAAGAATTATCATCTTAGATAAAAATCTTGTTGGTCGTGCTCTATAAATAAAATATGTAAAAAAAATATCAAAATTAATATAAGGATTAAAAAAAATATCAAAATAATTTTATATTTTTATTTTTTTCTATCTGTATATGGGCTGTGACCTCCTTATAAATCGGATTATTTTGATAGAATGAAGAGCGTAGAATTAAAATTTCAAAATTTTCCCATTCCTAAATCTCTTTGTTTTTAAATTCATGGTTTTTTTTTCTTAATCCTTATAGAATTTTATTTCAATTACATGTTGTTTTAAAAATATTTTACACGAGATTTTTTTTCTTTCATGATATTTTCGGGATTTAAGGAAATTGAATTTAATAAGGAACATTTTTTATAGGATTATAATTTTTTAATAGAATTTTAATTATATATGAAATACACACAAACAAATATTTGTAAGTCTTTATCAACTTTAATTAGGCTATGCGTTTGTGGCATTATTACTAATTTTTTTTTTGTGTATTGAAGAAAAAATCGATTAAATTATAACAATTAGGAAATTTGCGACTTCCTCGGTAATTCTAAGTCTTCTCACATATTTCAATACCTGATATAAGCTACTATTTTTTGCCAACTTTATTAAATAATCGAAAATGATTTGAAAATTATCAAATTTGTTGTTGATTTTATAGAAAATCTTATAAGACTCTAGTTTTGCAAAGTTCTTCAGTATATTCAAGTATCTCAAGACTCTTTCAAGAAATTTCCAAATGACCAAAGCACTGATAGCAGTAAACTTTCCCGGGGACATAAATTTTAGGGGGAAATTTGCGGTAGAAAAATTTCGACCAAAAATTTAATTTAAAAAATTTATAATACTGTTTTTCAATTGTATTGTTTTCCAAAATCTGATTTAATTAACACGCTCCCCGCATAGATACCCTAAACCTACTTTAGCCCATTTAGTGTTACGGCTAAATCTCCTCTATTCTCTCTCTTATCCAATTCAGCTTGAATGACACAAAAACTTGCTGAATTTTGTACTAAAGTTTTTATTTAAAATCTAAAATCTTAGACTGATGCGCAATGACATATACATAGCTAATCAATAATCAATAACATAATAAAAATATAATCATGTAATTGTATACGTGCTAGATCATAAATATAATATGATGATATGATCGTAAAAAAAAAAACGTATTATTTGCTTTTCACTTGAAAATTAAATTTTATTCAAATATTTCCCATAAATTTTATTCAAGAAACCATCTTTTTCGAAAGGATGAAAGGATATGAATTGTTTTAGTTATTATTACAAAAATCATAAAACAAATGGTTCAAAAATTCTAGATATCAATTCCGATTTCAATAAAATAAACTTATTTCATATTATTTTTTGGAAATCTGTTCAAACGTTATGAAAATTAATAAAAAATTTTTGCTTTATAAAAAAAATGGCTTGAAAAAAAATTATTACAAAAATTTTCAATAATTTTCTTCATAAGCTTTAAACAACGTATTCATTATTCAATTCTATAGAACTCTATGGAATTCAGATTTATAAAAAATTGGGGAATGATCAAAGAGAAAGAATGTAATTTCTTACTTTCTAGCAATTTTTCTTTTAAATCAAATTTTTAACTGAATTTAAAAATACAATAAAAAATTCTATTATAATTTTTTATTTGATTCTATTAATATTTTCTATTATTAGTTTTCTCTATAATACCAGTAAAATTTTCCAAGACTTTAACCTTCTAAAAATAAAAATATTGAATTTTCTTCTTAAATACAAAAAAAAAATATTTATTTATCCTTTCTCCTCTTTTCGAAACAAAACAAAGAAATAAACCAACAAAGCAAAAACAAAAATATTGTTTGAATTTCCTAAAATTTAATGCAAAGCATCCTGTTCTAGTATTAAAGAAAAAATCAATATTTTTCTATTTGTCTGCCAAAAGAATATAGAAATTATTCAGCAAGATGAAGAAAATTTTCATGAAAATTAAAGTTTTCACAAATTTTAATGATTTCTTTAAGAAAATCAACAAATAATTTTAGTTACTTTGAATCAAATTAATTAATAATATAGACTACAACCTCTTAATATTTAGAGTTTTTCTTGGATAAACCAAAAATATATTGCGGTCTTAAAAGATGAATTTTTTTTCATTCTGTTGAATGGTTTTCATGTATCTCCTATTTTCATACAATAGAGAAGCACGCATTTTAATATTAATGTTTCCTCTTCTCGCTAAAATTTTTGCTCATTTTAATTTATAGAGAAAATTTTGAGATGCCCCCCTGTAAGAAGGTCTTAAATCTATATTAATTTTCCAACACATTAAACTTGTAAAACAAATTTTAAAAATTTAAAATCGAATAAAGCAAAAATTTTTCAAAAAACACGATTTATGCGAGAAATTAAAAAAAAAAAAAAAATCCCCTAAATGTATGCAATTTTTATAAAAAATTATTTTTCTTTAAAAATTACAAGAACAATCCTCTTTGTTTTCTAATTTCCTTTAATTTCCAAAAAACAGAAGTTTATATTAAAAATAAGACCAGGAATGCCTTTAAGTATAATTTTATACAAACACTAGGAAATTAAGAATAATCTCCTAAATATATGCAATTTTCGTTAAATTTTTTTTTTCTTTAAAAAATTACAAGAAAAATATTTTCTAATCAAATATTTTTACTCATACCTTCATATTTCGATAAAATGAAAGAAAAATTAATTAAATTTTATATCCTTATTAATATTACACGTGAAATGTCCTTTAAGTTAATATTAAAAGTAAGACCTTTAAATATAATAAAATTATGGCTCATAAAATTAATATTAAAGCTTAATAAAAATTAATTCTTTCTTATTAAATTTAATAACTAGTTTAAAATCAAACCATAATTAATTTGCTTAAAGAATCGAATTTAATTTTAGGAAATTTTTTTTCTCCAAAACAAAGTGTCCTTTAATTATTCAATTAATTTTAACTATATGGACCCACTGCCCAAACCAAAATTTAATTTTTTTTAAAGGCAATCTCTAAAATGAAGATTATTTCCTCTAGATTTAATATTAATGAGTCAGGATAATAATAAGAATGAAATAAGAATGATGTGTTTTTAAAGTAAAAGGACATCCTAGCAATATTGTAATACTTTTAATTTATTAAAAATTTTATGATTCAAAAGAAATATTTAAAATAGGATAATCTTCATGGTGGTAACACTTTGTATGGTCCATAAAATTAACAACAACAATAAATTATTCTTAAAATAATATGTAGAATTTTTGAAAATATAAAAATGTGACGTCAATTAAAATAATATCGTATAATATGAGCCATAATCTAGGCATATAACTGAAACTTCCCACACAATAATAATTAAGATTGAAAAATGATCATAAAAACCATAGTAATACTGTCTGGAGTCATTGGTTTTTTTAGAAATGCGAGATTAGCAGATCTACAAACGGCCAGATTTTGGCTCTCACAATAGTAGATTCCGCCAGATTAAATTTATTTTTAGAATATAGAAAAAGAACATGCATTTTTTGAGCAAATATGAATGTAGATTCGGTTGCGAAAATTCCTATTACTTGACCTTTGGTTTGTTCACAAAATTTTGCCGTATTGTTAATTGATCTTGTGTTCTTGAATGAGAACAATATTGTGGAGATTCAAGCTTTCTTTATTTCATTTTAAATTTAAATTCTTGTTCATGTCCCTTATATTCCGTTGACATTTTTGGTAATTATTAACGTCTCTCAGTGAGTTTTTAAAATTTAATAATAAATTTAATTATTTTTAATTATGAAATTTAATCTTAAAATTTGAATTACTCAAAAACAAGATTTTTCTCAAAAAAAGCCACCATACTAATTGTTATAATTCGAGAAATACACTATATATAGAGCTAAGTAGACTAGAATTTATTTCAAAGAAAAATTATCGTGGTAAATAATAATTAATCCGACTTTATATAGAGGTATGTGTGTACACCAAATTAATTTCAATTAAACATTAAAATTTTTACTTTAACTCTTTATCCTAAAAACAAAATATTTTTTCTCAAGAAGTTAAGAAATCACGTATAGTATTTAGTACAGCAGTAGACTGAGAATATTATTATCCTTGAAATTATTTTTTTCAAAATAAAGGTAAAAATTTTTAGGCATTTTATATGTAATTAATGAAATTCCCAAATGTCTGCATTAAAAACTTTTCTTATTCTGTTGATTTGTTAAAAATTAAGAAAATAAGAAAATAAAACGTGAAAAATAAACTTGACCTTGATATTACACTTTACTTATAAATACTTCTTTTATATTAATGATCTTACAAGTATCCACATAGATTAACAATATTATACCTTAAAAGTGCAAGCATAATCTTAAACTCTTAGACGGGAATATATCCTTTAAATCCAAAAAACGAAGAACACAGAATTATTGCTGAATTCTGGCCACATCTTTAACTAGAAGCCCAAAAATATCTTCTACAATAAAAGCTTTCAGGAGACTAGTACTAGAGTAACTTTGTTTCTTCTTTTAATATTTAACAATTAATACAGAGAGCCTAATAATTAACCATAATGAAGAATTTTCTAATTAAAAAAAAAAAAAAACTTTTATTTCTTAAAGGATTCTTGAAAATGCTCTCACATTCTACACATTTTAATCTCACATTCAAGACATGTGTGATTGTTAATTAAATCCTCCTTCAAAAATTTGGAAACCAAAAAAAAACAAAGCAATAATAACGAGCATTAAAGGTCTTGAGACTTAAAGAAATTTAAAGAAAATTTTGTGTTTTTTTATTTTTCGTTTTTTTGTTTTTCTCATTTTCAATGACATAAAATCCTTAAATTTATTTTATTTCATGTTTGTTGAGCGTTAACTGTCAATGTTATAACAATAAAGTGAGAATAAGCAAAAAGAGAGAGAGAGAATAAACAAAAATTTTCATTTTGTGGTTTTTTAATTTTTAATTTTTTTTTGTTGCTGTTTTTTTTTTGTTATTGCTGTTTTCGGAATTGATTTCGA